TTCGTATTCATGTAAGTTTAGTTCTTAGCTCTTCTACCACGGCAACCTTCTTGCTTCAGTTCCATTTTTATATCTGTTTCTGACTTCCTGAGTCAGTTTTCTTATTACTTCTTATTGTCTTACTTTTGCTGGCTTAAGTGACATTTGCTTTGTTTTGTGAACTGGGTTTAGGTTGGTTGCTGGAAACACGCTGAGCCAAGCTTACATAGTACCAAGAAGCTATAGGCCTAGTTTCAGATTGATAGCAAAGAATTCTTCAAGTGATGTAGCTATTGAGAAATGGAAACGTGATGGTGTTACATGACAAACGTGCAAATTGAGGACCTTCATCACAAAAAGCTGTCCAGGAAACGATTATATATCATTATCTTAGTTTCAAACTCATATTTATGTGCTTCTGAGTAGTATATGTATAGAAGCATCAGTTTTGAATAGTTTTTTTTTAATCTTCTTCGTGTAGGCGGTTCATTAAGAGGACAAGGATGGAAATATGGTTCTGGTTTTGTGGATGGAATTTTCCCAGTGTTGAGCCCCATTGCTCAGCAGATTTTGGATTTTGTACAGGAGGAGGTTGATGCTAATAGAGTTTGGGGTTCTCTTGATAATCTTTCTCCCACTCATGATACTTGGGATGATCTTATTAATGTAGCTGTTCAACTTCGTATAAACAAAAAATGGGATCCAATTGTGCTGGTAAGAAAGATTTAATTGGGGCACTACATTTTTTGTTCTTTTGTTTGGAGTGGGATTACTTTAAGTGCATGCTCTTATTGACTTAAGAACTTGACACATCCATTTCTTGAGTTCCTTACTCTTCCATGGGATAGATTGTTTCAGATTTCCAATATTCAGTTGAAGTAATTTTGCTACGACATTTGGATTTATTCAAGGGAATTATCTGATATTCCCTCTTTTGTAACTACAGTCACATGAATGACTGTTTTTTCCTATGGTAAACAATCAAGTTTGAGAAAACTAATATCCCATGTCAAAATGGCTTCACTCAGGGACAGAATGTTTCAAATTTAGAAATTTAAATGTCAATACTTATCATGAATATTCTAAAATGAAACAATTGGGATATATATATATTCTTGGTATTGAATTACGTAAATTCGCTTTCTTATAATGTTCTTAAGCGTAATGCTTCTATTATTTTACAGATTTGTGAGTGGATATTGCACAGGAGCTCCTTTCAGCTGGATGTCATGTGCTTCAATTTGCTCATAGACGCTTATGGGAAGAAATCACAATACAAGAAAGTGGAATCTACATACTTGGAACTTCTTGAAAGTCAATGCGTACCCACTGAAGATACTTATGCACTTCTTATCAAGCCTACTGCTCAGCTGGGCTGAAACAGAAAGCTGAAGCTGTCTTTGCTGAGATGAGAAAGTATGGCCTCCCTCCAAGTATGTCTGCCTCTCTAGTAATAATTTACTGCCACCTGATTGTTATTATATTGCAGTGTGGGATCCACTCTCTTGCTGCTTAGATGAGGAAATTAAAAATTTTTTGCATTTCTTGTTGTTTTTATTGTAATCTGAGAATGCAAGTATTTTAGATTTTCATGCATTTCACTGCTTGTAATCTTTCTTATTGAATACTGTCAACTACATATTTACAAATGAATTTGCATAAAAATCTTCACTTCAGGTGCAACTGTTTATGATGCTTATATTGATGGGTTGATAAAGGGAGGAAACTCTCAAAAAGCTATAGAAGTCTTTCAGCGGATGAAGAGAGATGGCTGCCAACTGTCTACTGTAACTTACACACTGATGATCAACTTGTATGGGAAGGTAACTTAAAATTTATGCTGGCCCTACGTAATTCTGCAAACTATTAAGCCTTAATGATATCATTGCCCTCCTTCAGAGTATGCTTACTTGATACAATCATCAGACGTCAACAAAAATTAAAACATTAAGTAGAAACTTAATTTCAAGGTTCATATCTGCTTTCCGCTGTGCAGGCAAGTAAATCCTATATGGCCTTGAAGTTGTTTGATGAAATGAGAAGTCAAAAGTGTAAACCAAACGTCTGCACCTACACTGCTCTGGTGAATGCTTTTGCTAGGGAGGGACTCTGTGAGAAGGCTGAAGAGATTTTTGAGCAGCTTCAAGAAGCTGGGCATGAGCCTGATGTGTATGCTTACAATGCGCTCATGGAAGCTTACAGGTTCAAATCCTTCATTATTCAGTACTTCCTGATTCCTGGCAATAACTCGAGAGTCGGATTTTCTAGGTTCAGAAGGTTAATTGGATTAACTGGACTTAAGTTCTTTGAGCCTGAGTTTTGAGCTTCTCAATATGATAGTAGATTAGAATCATTTTAGCAATGAGCAATCATTAAAAGGTTATTGTTTCTTGAAGTTGCATTCAGCTTACAAGATGCAAAGCCTTTTTTGACTCTCTTCCCTAACAGTCGTGCAGGTTATCCTTATGGGGCAGCAGAAGTATTTTCACTCATGCAGTACATGGGGTGTGAACCAGACAGAGCTTCCTTTAATATCATGGTTGATGCATATGGTAGAGCTGGTCTTTATCAGGGTAAATATCTTCACTGAAAAGTAAAACTATTGTGTTACTAACTGGAGTTACCTCGCACACATCCTTTAAATAGTTTTTTTGCCGGAAGGCCAGACAGCAAAATCTTACAAGAACTTAAAACAGCCTTTAATGTGTGCGAGACAGCAAAATCTTAGTTTCTAGGGATAATTCTTCAAAGAGAGCGAAAGACTGAAGTGGGGAATTTTCCATGAGAAAAACATAAATCATTGCTCACTTTCTATTCAAGATACTATAGGACTGAATTACTTAGCATATGATATTTTTATAATCTAACATAATATAGCCTCAATGTTGCATGACTGTCAATTTGTCACCATATACCATTCATGTGTTTTGATTTCTTTATCTAAATTTCAGATGCTGAAGCAGTATTTGAAGAGATGAAGCGGCTAGGGATAACCCCTACGATGAAATCTCACATGCTACTTCTATCTGCCTACTCCAGAGTTGGAAATGTAGCTAAGTGTGAGGACATTGTAAACCAAATGCACAAATCTGGGCTTGAACCAGACACCTTTGTCCTCAACAGTATGCTGAACTTGTATGGCCGGTTAGGCCAATTTGAGAATATGGAGAAAGTTTTAATTGCAATGGAAAAGGGACCCTATGAAGCTGATATCAGCACTTACAACATTTTGATCAATGTCTATGGACGGGCAGGGTTTTTTGAGAGAATGGAAGAGCTGTTCCAATTGCTTCCTGCCAAGAATTTGACACCTGATGTTGTGACGTGGACTTCACGGCTTGGAGCCTACTCTAGAAAGAAACTATATACAAGATGCTTGGAAATTTTTGAGGAAATGATCGACGCTGGCTGTAATCCAGATGGAGGAACCGCCAAGGTACTTCTCTCAGCATGTTCTAGTCAAGATCAGATCGAGCAGGTTACTACAGTGATTAGAACAATGCACAAGGATATGAAGACTGTTTTGCCAATCGAATGAATACTTGACCAGAAGTAGATCATACCCAAGTGTAAATCTGCATTGTCTTCTTACCTTCCTTTACTACTTGATATGACAGGCATCAATGTCTTCACAGAAGTAAATTTCTGTATATATAACATACTGAATATATATAGATTCGCATGCAATGTGTAAATAGCAGATATTTCATTCCTTGCTATTATCTCTGTGCTATAGAAGATAAACTACTTACAGGCCAAAGTTGATGCTACCTTGATGCTAATTAATGTATTTCGGAATATTTATGCTGTCCAATATATTCAAATGCCTATATAGGCATATGCATCATGCCCTACCATACTTCTGAACTGAAATTGCTGCTGATACCTCAAATTTCAAGCTTTTCTAATTACATATTCATCGCCTTGTCAAACGGTAAATGATTATTACAAAGATTGCATTAATTATATGCATCAGGGAAGATAAGGTAAATTAAAGGGAAAGAAAAGACGTAAATGGAGGGTAACTCTTCATCACAAGCATCTCCTTCTGCGACATCAGGCGTGAAGCCAGCATGGTAGCTGACGGACTTGCAAAAGCTGGGGTGGTGAGAGAAGCTAACCACAATGTTTACTTTGTTAATCATAATGCCAACCTTCCCTAAACCTGCCATCTTTATTCTGATTCTGGCTACACTAATTCTGGTGATCCATTTTTACTGTCTTAGTGTCCCAGATTAGTAGGGGCAAGCCTATATTGGTTTTGATTTCTTTGCTATCTTTTCTGGTAGGATTGATGTCTGAAGGCCTATAAAGGTCTTTTTTATGTTCTGCCAACCCTCCCTGTTGGGAATTCGTTTTGTTTCCAAGCAAGGCACTTGTGACTTTGCTCTCTGTAAGTCTCCATTTGGAGATTTTTATAGTAATAAAATCTCAGCCTTTCAAAAAAAAAAAAACTCTTCATTCACCGGAAGAGAACAATGTAGTTAGAAGCATTGAGACACTAGACATGATAGCAAAAGTAAATTAGGTGGAAAAGGCTTCTCCAGGGGATGCTCTTTAGGGAGGATAGATAGATACGTAAGAAATCGAATCCTATCTTTGGTAAGGATTAACAGATGGGGAAAAGGTATCCTTATTGTGGAAGCTACCAAACATAGGCAAGTCTCGCATATGTTACATAAGAATTAACAGGCAGGTGGCTATAATTAGATACGTTTTCAAAATAAAATCAAGCTACTATATTTGCTCAAGACTTAGAGATTAATTAAATTTCATTTCAAATCCAAAGATCTGTTAAATGTTTTTGAGTGTCTGAGATGATGTCTGTTCTGCTATGTGTGAATTTCGCTGTAGAAAGGCAAGACTAGAAGCAGATTTAAGTCCCATTTTCTGGTCATCAATCAAGTACATGCTTGTTGGTCATGTACCTTTATATAGCATTTCAAGAATTTTTGGCTCTTTTAGATTGTGCAAGGAAAAGAGTTCTAGAAAATGCTTTGCATTAATCTTCAGAAAAAAAAGAAAAAGAAAAAATGCTTTGCATTTCTGGAATAATTATGTGTTTAGCTTGCGTACAACATTTGATAACTTTCCTGCCCCTCAATTTTGAGGGCATAATCACATGCTTCTCCTGTTGGTGAGGGAATGTCTTCAGGGTCTCTTCTTGGTTTAACCCATCTGCCATGTTCATTACAAACCAATCCTTTGTTGGACAATTGGTACCAGAAATGAGGGATCCTTAGTTCATCCACCAACAAATCACACGCCTTATTAACCAAGCTAACATCCCTACGAGCTTCAGATCGGAATGTAGAGTCTGCACTGTGGAACCCATCGACAAGGTGAAGGTATGTCTCAAGGCTGTGAAATCCCAATGGATTGAATCCACGCTTGAGGTAAGGTGATGAACTAACATCCAGCCTCAATTCAGCTCCTACATGGGTGTAAACCCATTCCAATGTTCCCGTTATATCGTCAAACCTTTGTAAACTCTCATTGAAAACAATCCCTGGCATTCTAGGGACTAAATCTTGCTTAACCACCACTCTTAATGTTTTGACTCCTAATCCGTCAAGCTCATCCCTGAAGGCACTGTTGCCAACTCTAGGTGCACCAAAGGAAATCACGCTCACAGGAAGGTCTGGAAGACTGGCTGCAGCTTCATAGGCATTGAGCAGAGCCAATGCACCACCCAAGCTATGCCCGGTTATTGTTAAACTCACTTCTTCGCCATTTCCTTGGTAGAATTGCACAAGCTTTGTCACTTCTTCCATGACTTGCTTCGAAGCACTTGACTTGTTGTATCTCGTGGATTCACTCATGGAAGTGTAAATGCTAAGAAATCCATGTTCAACTTTAGCATCTCCAATCCCTATTGGTTCCAAGTTCCTTTGAAAATCCTCGTACCATTCGGATGGTGCCACCGTCCCCCGCCAGGCAACGACAATATCTCTTCGTCCGATCCTACGTGACTCCTCATTGTCGCTAACAGCCACATAACCCATCCAGTTGGAATCTTTGCTCCACGTGTCCATCAGGTGTGACCTTTCCAGCCACTGTGGCATCTCGATGTGTGACATGGCATAGATGTACTTGATCACCTTGTAACCATTTTTACCAAGGCCTAATTTATCAAAAAGCTTGTTACGATTGTATCTGCAGCTGCCGCAGAACTCCGAAAAGGAGTCAAAATCAAAGGCATCATAAGTTGCTTGAGCAAACTCTCCATACTTGACAATTTCTCGCCGTAGCCAAGGGTGAAGTGGGTCTAAAACATTTTCCCAATCCACAGAACCATGAATGTCCCTCCATTTATCAGCAATCACCTCCTTGGGAGAAGTTGTCGGGGTATTATGTTTCTCTTCATAAAACAAATCCCAATTAGAGTGTTGAAGGTTTTTCCTTGAAGGGGTTTCTATATGGAGATGGAGAAGGTTTGATATTGATTCAGCCAGACGTCGAGCACCCCCACTCGATGCCGTATTAACTTTGGGGTGATGAAAAACAACTTCCTGATGAGCACGGATAGCAGAAATCCGGTTAACGTCGGTGTTGAGAGCTGTTGGAAGATGGTTATGGATCATTGTTGAGGGGGCCATGATTGTTGGTATACTGGTATAGGGTAGCAAATTTAAATTGGTGAGGCCTAGCAGGGAGTTTGATGATTGCGGAGACTAAACGTTGCAAATTGCAAGAGGAACTGTATAATGGGAGGACATATATAGAAGGCAAAAGTTTCCAACACTACATAAAGCTTTTGAATAATTGTTACGCGTTAGTATACATTGAAACTTGATGAAAATAATGTAAAACAATGTAAACTAGTCCGTACATTTTAGACTCCGTCTGATGTTTGATCAGAAGTTGACATATTAAAATGTGGACTATTATTATTCGTGTAGACTATGCTTTTGGGACCATGGCTAATACGTTACTGGAAGGAACTTAGAAACAGCAAACTTTGGAGTAGAAGTTGACATTCAACGCGTGACACTCATCTTTTTACATGCACAAACTTATTCACCCACTTATTAATATACGTATATTGATCTGTAGGCTTGCGTTTGTCATGGTGCATCTCAGAATCCCGAGGGACCCTGCAGTTAATTTATTGAAAATGACTTTACATTATTTTGCAGATAAGTATTGCCTGCCATCCATTACCAAAAACCAATCAGAAACATAGGTATTGCCGTAGTGATCTTCCCGTCAGATGGCAAAGTGTGTACAAGGATCACATTTTTCATGTTCAAAATTTCACATTGCTTTTGTGCTTAAGGGCTAATATTAAAAATTTCAAAGGGCAACAACTCAAGGACAAAATGTTACGTATGCAGCACTTAATTTGACTAACGATACCAGCCCTATTGGCTATTTTGTCCATCTACTTCAACCAGATTCCACACCTACTCAAATAATTCAAGTCCACCGGGAAATTCCATTGCTGCTGCTCGGAAAGAAACAAGAAGCAGAGATTTCTTTATTTGGACCCTTGAATACCAACCACTAGTGGCAACAGTGCTCTTTGCTCAAAAAGCTGTAAAGGTTTATTGTGCACTCTTTGTCATACACAACGAAGAATGAAGACATAAATAACAGATATATCAACTATATGACACTTGCTAAGGATATATGTTTTAATTAAAATAATATTTTTTCTTTGTTAAATCTTAATATATCTTAATTATATTGTTATATATTTTCTATACATATTTAATCCAGTACTTTCGTATATATATTTTGTTTTCCAATCGATATAAAATAAAACAATATAATCCCACTGATATTTTCTTTAACAATTCTACTTTTTATGAATGAAAAATTATATTTATTTGTACTTGTGAAAGCGTATTGAGCTTCACTGCACAACAAAAAAATAGCCATATCTCTTCTCTCACCAAAAGCCTTTATGTAGCTTTTTTGAGTATCTTCATTTTCTCTCCCCAATATCATTAATTTCTTTGATTAAATTTATTGTAATTATGAGAAGGAGACATTATGAAGAATATAGATGGACAAGGAAAGAAGTGAAGTAATTAATCAAACTAATGTGCTAAAGTTAATTAACATTATACATGTTGCTTAATTTTAATTTATTCCTCCCTGTAATAAATGATGAAGAGACTCCAAACCTTTTGTTGGGTGTGTGTCTTTTCACTTGCACCACACACTCGATCGTCGAAAAACCGCTCTGAGAAATACAATGCAACTAAGTGCGGAAACTAGTCACACTGAATAAATGTTGTTCGGGAAATACAATGCGAAATAGTGAACACAAAGTGGGCCCGCACAAATCCCGAAATATCGGCTCTGACAGGAATGCGCCCGCCACCACCCGTCTGTGCTCCAGATGCGTGCTCGATGCTCCTGTGATCGCGTACGTGCAATCCGCGATCACTTCCGACTTCCTGACGGCCCGAAATGCACCTCGGAAGTCCGCTGTCCCGTATCTCCAAAACCGTACGTCGGATGACGAAACCGACGTCGCCGTTGGAACCGCAGCGCGTCAAAACCCCCGGGGTAGCATCCCCGTCGAAATCCGGGTCGGTCGCCGGTCGTCTTCTCCGGGAACTGGTTTTCGGTCAAACTCGACCAAAACCAACGCGACCAGAACTGATGCGTTAGCCTCCTCCTTGCGGTGCTCTCCGCGCCAACCGTCGCGTGAAATACCTCCCGGATCGGTGAAACCGAGCTCTCCAAGTTTCGGTCGCCGGAATCCCGCCGTCCGGCAACACCACTGCCCAAGACCGGGCTCTCCAAGCTCGCCCCAACACGCCGTGCAAGGATCCGCAGGCTGTGAGAATCACCTCCCTCACCGGAGAGAGATCCGAGCCCTCCAAAGGTAGCCCTCTCCTCTCTCTCTCTCTTTGTTTCGATTTGCACCCGAGAGCTCCACACACGCACGGACCCTTCACCAAAGTCAAGAATGGTGGGGTTACGGTGCGTCATAAAATAACACCTTTGCTTAATCTAAGTACAATAGGGGTTTTGTACCCTCCAAAAGTCCAAGGGAGGGTACCCCCTCTTAGTCACTATGTCAAAACTCAGTGTTTTGGTCTACAAGCCATAAGAACTTCACTTAACAGCATCTCTCACAATGTTTCTTTGGATCTCACATGCTTTATTTGACCGAGACATCTCGTGAAACACAGTCTATTTTGCTTCCAAAGCTAAAGCATTGTAATGCCAACTTTCCCGGTGGCTATGTACCAAGCCTTTTGGTATCATACGTTGTTGAGTTGGACAAGGCAGAGGCAAATTGGGGTAATTTCAACCCTCAAGAACAATAATTCCTAAAACCCCACGGGGGCCCCAACCACATGTGATGAATTATCAAAGTGTTTGGTATTATAAAGAAACATGGGTGTTCGATCCCACGTTTTAATCTTGGAACTTTCGACTCTAACAGTTGCCTTGGGAGACCAGAAACCTTGATTTGCATCTAGATGGCGACTTTTTGCCTTGGTCGGTTTTCCTTTTCGTGGAAGCCGCGCCAACATGGTAAAACCTTGAGGACTTAGGGTCCCTACTTTCACCTTATAATAACGACCTACCTTTAAATGGAGCAATGAGAGCCCATAAATGCATATTCTAATCATAGCATTTTTTCTTTTTATATTACTATATTGTATTCAGTTTTAGGTTTAAGTTTTTGGTGGCTGATCATACATCTTTGTCATGCTTTAATCTCATAGAAAATTATATAAAATTTGGTTCTCTAACTACGTTTCAATTGAGATACACAAATTAAAAGGTTTTCAAAATCATCATAAGTTTATATTCATAGGGATGTGTAATCTCTATCCAAAACTAACATCCATCCTTCACTATTTCAGCCGATCAAAGCCGCGATCATATATTGAACTTCAATCCAAAAGTTTTAACATATCGACGGGACAGAGTTAATCAATTTTTATTAAGAGATCAGACACAACTTAAAAAATAAGAATTAAAATTTTTTAAAATTAATATGTTAAATTCAATAAAAAATCAAAAGATTAATAATAAAAATATAAAATTAAATAAAAAAACTATAATGTGTAAAATATAAATAATTCAATACAATATATCAGATTAATAATTTCTTTTTATATAATCCAAATTGTTTAAAAACTATAAATTTAAGATAATTTCATTTCAATTACATATAAACGTAAAGCACATAAAAAAATTCAAGTCAATTTCTTCTTACATAATCAAGATTAAGAAAAAAAAATAAAGCATTGATGAAATTTTAAATAACAATATATTACTACAACTTATATTTAAAAACTACATAATAATTTATTTAATTTTCAAAATTAAAATCATAAAAAATAAAATTTACATAATAGAAAAAATATGAACAGAATAACTATAAGTTACCACACATGACATAAAAAAAAAAAAAAGAATATAATTGATGGTTTGTAGAAATTTGAAAAAAAAATTATAAAAATTTAAAGCATATGAATAAATAAAATATAAATAAATAATAATATGAATTAAAAAATTAAAAAAAAACTTTAAAATTGAGTGAGATATGTAAAATTATTTTATTATGTTTTATTTATATTAATTATTAAATAAAATTATTTTAAAAATTGTATATGCTTCAATATGTAAAACTAAATAGTTCGTAAACCGCTTTTTCTTGGTAAGTAATGGTGATGATGGGACAAAGGGGGATCAGCTTCTCCAGCTGAACCATTTCTCCTGCAAAATCAGGTAACCCTGACTGGAAGTCCAGGTTTTTATTGGTACGTAGAAGATATTCTCTATATTAGAAGATACTGCACTTTATTTTAAATTTTTTTTCTTATTTCAATCTATTTTATTTTATATATTTTTAGTTTTTTAATTAAAATTTATATCCTTATTATATATTTTTTTTAAATTTCTACCAATCATCAATATTTTTTTATTTTTGTTATCTTATATGTGAACTTTATCTTTTTCTTGTCATATTTTTTTTATTATATGAAATTTATTTTTTATAATTTTAATTTTTAAAATTAATAAATTATTATATAATTTTTAAATGTAAATTGTAATGTTGCACTGTTATTTAAAATTTTATCAATGTATCATTTTTTTTATTAATCTTGATTATATAAAAAAAATTATGCAGATATTTTTTATGTACTTTATATTTTATATTTAATTGAAAAAAATTATTAATCCTATATATTTTATTTAACTATTTATATTTTATGTATTATAATTTTATATTTAATATTATAAATTTAAATAAAAATAAAATAAAAATATTAATTTTTTCAAATTTAATTAAAATATAACTAAATTAAAAATAATCAATAAATTTTTTAATATATATATATATTATTCAAATAATTTTCTTATACTTAAACCACCAAATGTATATTCAAATAAGTGAAGGGAGTATAAGAAGTATAATTTTCTTTCAACACTTCTCTTCTTCTCTTCTCTAGAATACCAATGGGCTAGTAGCACAATAGGGAATGCCGTTCTAGGATGCGTCTAGTTGGAAGCCCAACTCAAAGGATAAGCCTTATAGTAAAAGGATAAAAGAGTTCTTGGCCTTTTCTGCTTAAAAATAATTACCAGAATTTTGGACGAGTCACGTCATTGCAGGAATGCTTATCTTTGTGCAGCATTAAATGACCAAATCGAAGACTCATTTCTTTCTTAAGTGAAGTGATGGTATTAATTCTTCTTAAATTTCAGGCTCTAAGCATTGATAGCAACTACTCCCATCGCTTATATCCAGCAATAAATACTAACTTTTAATAAATACCATTTTTTTTATTTGTTTGTTGGAGGAGAGGACGGATGTAAAAGGGCTCATTAAACAAAAAATATAATACAGTTATTTTTAAATTAAATACATAAATATTTTAATACTTGATTTGAAAATCAACATGTACTAATATATTTTACTACAATGCAAACAGTCCCACTTTTTTTTTTTTTTACACAAAAGAATTGTTAATGTACCCAATTTCTAAATTTGGACCGCTAGCATTACTCTTTTATATCAAGGCATATAATTAATCAAGTGGATGCCAAACAATTTGGAGTCCCTTAAATAACCAAACCCACTTTTTTTTTTTTGGGTTAATTATGGAGGAAATCCATAACGAGTCCACGTACAGGCCGAATTGTAATGCAAGACAAAAGTGAAAAATAGTAAAATAACTGTCTTGTTGACTTAGTCCATGCCTATAGGGTCAGTTGAGACTGCTTATCAGAAGAGGAGGCACCAAACATGCGTGCACAAGCAGAATATATTCCAAGTCTCCTTGTTCATGAACGAGACCAATTTGCAAATGGAAGCCAGACACGTTATTTGTTTAGCATAAAATCAAATATTATAATAACATGAACTGGGTCTGGGGCAGCCATTCTTCTTCTTGACCCAGCCAACCCCATCCCAAGAAAAAAGAATTAGGAAATAAGGTTACTTGTAGCTGCAATAGATGGCAGTATTTCACCATATATTATTAATTTATCATCTTATTCTTACCCAAGGACTAGCAGCCACTTGCTCTTATGGTTAACCTTAACCAAAACGTAACTACTTGCATATATTTTGTATTGTTTAATTCAGTCTCAAATGGACTTGTAAGGTACAGGCAAGGAAAAACAAAAGTCTAATTGACCGTTAAGATGTAGATGGCTCAGAACTCAGAAGGTTCCCAGAACAAAATATTGCTCTTCCAAAGGTCTACAGTGAGATGTTTCTTTCTCTGAATCAGTACTATATAAACCCTTCATTCCATGGCATTTGCAATTTACATCGAACAATACATTTTTTAAGTCACCAAGAAGGGTAGTAAAAGGAAACACGACGAACAATCTTTCAGTTCTCTGCGTTATTACAAGCTTTTTCCTTCGAGCCCCTCTATGGAGAAAATGGAGTTGTCGCCATTGAGAAACGTCACAAGGCAGAAAACAGAAAAGCCAAGAAGCAAAAGGGTGTGGAGATTGAAGCTTAATGTTACTTGGCAGGGTATGAAGAAAGCCTTGAAATCCGTTCTGAGGCATCGGCGGCTTCATCTTGCTTCAAACCTGAAAACACTCTCCACCCTCAAGAAAGATATGGCTATTATTAGGCCGATTCGACATGTAATGAAAAAGAAAAAGACCCTTCGTCCTATGATGCCATTAGGACAACTCATTCAATTACCGTACACAGCAGCAGATTTCATCGACCGCGGTGATGCCATGACTCCTACCAAGTCCCCAAAGGAGAATATATCCACACAATGGCGTGAGCTTCATGGTTTGCACCACTGGGTTGGTCTCGTTGAGCCTCTCCATCCTTGGCTTAGGCGAGAGATTGTCAAGTACGGAGAATTCGTCCAAGCAACTTACGATGCTTTTGACTTTGATCCTTTATCAGAGTTTTGTGGAAGCTGTAGATACAATCGAAGCAAGTTCTTTGAAGAACTAGGCCTCACTAAACATGGTTACAAGGTTACCAAGTACGTTTACGCCATGTCCCATGTCGATGTTCCTGAATGGTTCGAGAGGTCATATTGTTCTTGGAGCAAGGATTCTAACTGGATGGGGTACGTGGCAGTCAGTGGTGATGCCGAATCTGCAAGAATTGGGAGGAGAGATATCCTCGTGGCATGGCGGGGCACGGTGGCACCTTCCGAGTGGTACACTGACCTCAAAACAAGTCTGCAGCCTCTTGGGAAAACCAATATCAAGGTCCAGCTTGGATTCCTTAGCATCTACAGTTCCAAGGGTGAGTTTACTAGGTACAACAAGTTGAGTGCATCTGAACAAGTCATGGAAGAAATAAAACGGCTTGTTAGCTTCTTCAGAGACAGAGGCGAAGAAGTTAGCTTAACGATCTGTGGTCATAGCCTTGGGGGTGCCTTGGCACTCCTCAATGCCTATGACGCTGCAACTTACTTCCCTGATCTCTTCATCAATGTCATCTCTTTTGGTGCACCAAGAGTCGGGAACATACATTTCAAGGAGAAGCTCAGAGAACTAGGAGTCAAGACACTACGGGTTGTTGTCAAGCAAGATATAGTCCCAAAATTGCCAGGGTTTATACTCAACACGATTCTTAACAAGTTCACCGCGGTTACTGGAAGATTGAAATGGATTTACAGGCATGTTGGAACACAATTGAAGCTTGATGCACTCACGTCACCCTATTTAAGGCGTGATACGGATTATACGGGGTGCCATAATTTGGAGACATACCTCCATCTGATCGATGGATTCATTAGCAAGACATCAAAGTTTCGATGGAATGCCAGAAGAGATGTTGCCTTGGTGAACAAGACAACTGATTTGTTGATAAAGGAGCTAAAGATCCCTGACTCTTGGTACCAAAAGCCATTCAAGGGACTTGTGCTGAATAAATATGGTAGATGGGTTAAACCAGGAAGAGAACCTGAACACATTCCTTCTCCACTAAGCATTGGTTCCCCTCACAATCCTATATTTTAGATAAATGTTGATGTCCATTCAAACATGGATGTAGAGTCCATTTTTGAGTGTTTCTTTTCCTTTTTCTGTTGATATAAATTCATTTATTTGTTCAACACCTGATCTGTAAAAGCTCTTCATCGTTGAGGTTTTGCTTTGTAATGACATCTTGTTCCACAAAATATATAGTTTTTGAGTAATTTTATGTTAGATTTGATTTCACAGTATTTGAGGAACACTAGTACTTGGTACAAGGAACAATCTTGAGTAGTGCCATCTCCGGACTAATATGCATTTAAAGCCCATTTTCAATCTTTAACTGATTTAAAAGACCAAGCTTGAATTCGAAGTCCAATGTTGTTAAAAAGAACTGACCTAATAGGTAATGAGCAACATAATGTATAGCATCCCCTCTTCCCTCATTTTACTGTTCAAGCTTTATATGAACTTGTTAAGGTTACCCTGCATAAGCCAAAGGTCAAGTCATTACTTGGGAAGAAAAAAACTTTCTGATACAAAGAAAGAAAAGTTCATTACTGCTATCTCTCTCCTTGCATAAGTCTGCTCGTTTTCGTTGAATAATGCAATTTTGCTTGAGTAGTCTATTGAAGGACGAGGTAAAACCTTGCGCCTAGCCGTGTGAAGAATTCATCAATGAAGTAATAAACGCAGCAGGTGAAAAATAAAGGTGGTGAGTTGGGCCGAAACTTCTGCATTTCAGATTTTTCAGGTCCAACCTCTGCGCAGCAAGCTGTCATCCGCTTGTAAGCAATTGACATTGTTGACTTGGTTTTTCATTTTTACTTCTTTTGACAATAGATTGTTCAATTCAACACGTGCATTGGTAACCAATGAATAGCTAATAAGCAGTAACCATAATCAATTAGCTTAATATACCTGCACGGGTGAATTAAGAGAAAACATATCAGATGGTATCTTTCTATTTCTTTTTGGTCAAGAGAAGAATCTGATATCTTCTATGAATAGAAAACTGTGATTAGCTGAAGATAAACCATCGGATGAATTAAAGAATAAATTGTTTGCATGGATGATGTTTGCAGAATCTTGACTAGTAGTTTGCATATGGCATTTCTTAAGCTTAATCACTTGAAAATTGTTGGAGTTTTCCAAGGGAGAAGTCGATTGCAACTCTGATGAGAAAGGATGAGCATATATATAAGGAAGTTGATCTTAAATATCAAAACAGTAAGTAAAAATGGAGGAAGCTGATAAAATTGCAGTCGATGGGGTTGCAATTCGAGCCCATCCAAGCTGAAAGAAAAGAAATTCCAAGTAAAGAAATTCAAGCCAACGATTGGACGGACATGATTATGTTACAAGCAAACACTCTAACAGCATGGTTCCCTAAAGCATATTATCAACAGACTATGTTTCAGAAGAGTTGTGCCTTTTGAGACAATAAATACCAGGTTAACTCAGTGGAAATACAGAAAATATACATCAAACAAATGATCCTGTTCTTGAAACTTGAGACAAAGCATCTTCAAACTGTTCATCTTCTTGCTTCTCAGAACACAAGCTTGGTGGGATATAGGATTTGAATATCTGTTCCATCTGAGGAGTTTCCTTTAATTCTTGGCAAGCAACTTCCAGAGCTGTGTGACAAAAAGCCTTATAGAATTTCTGTCTACAGACATAGGCGAAGATCAGAGACAATATGGGAAGTGGAATTAGGATGGGAGTATAGTAGAATTTCACCACCCCAAAGTAACCCAACATAGTAGCTTGGTATAACAGCAGGGCACTGATGACTCGTGTATGCATGTGAGGCCACATTTTTCCGTAGCTCTCATATGCTGGAACATAAACTTTGAGTGCCTGTTACAAGAGAGTATAAAACTGATAAACAAAGATACTAACAGTTACCAAATTTAAAAGCTTTTCTTCAGTTTTTTTCTTTGATGCATATCATCTTCAGCTCTTAACCCCAAAAAAGCTTTAGTTCAGAAAGTTGTTCCTTTACAATGCAGAATAACTTACATTTTCCACAACTTTAATAGTAGGTTAAGGATTTGCAAGTTTTATATAGCCCGTTCTTTTAGGGAAGAATGCACTACTACGTTTAAGAAAGGTGTGGTTTTTCTGATTTGGTGAGTTGAAATAAGTAGCATTGCTCATTTTTCTGTAACATGAAACTAAACTTGAATTGTAAGAATAATAATTGCATGCAGAAAAAAGAAAGCAATTCTAAAGGCAATTGAGAGAAATACCTGATTCCGGAGAATAAGCCAACCCAAGGCAAAGTAAAGCACTCCAAATGGGATAATCACAGGCGCAATAACTGCGTAGCAGAGAACAATGGTGAGGATAAGCATGTCACCAGGAAATCTAGTGGCATAGCCAAGATCTCCAGGAAACCAAGCATCTTTTAACTCGGCTTCAGTCTTGCAAAGATATTTCCTCTTCAGATGATATATGATCAGAGGAACTATTCGAGAAAGCTCAAGCCCATAACCGACAAAGAACCTGGTGGAACCATAAAATATAAATTATGAAAGGTGGAACCAAAACCAATAAAATTCATAGAAACAGTTTTACACTTGTTACAATGCCAGCTGAAAAGAGAATTGACACTGCAAACATTTTAAATGCTGTCTAAAATGATAAAAGGAATCAAAAAAAAAGAAGAGCAATGACATAAGTAGAAGAATTTCCTTCAATAGAATATAACTTGGACGTCAAAAGGACACACAAAAGGCACAAATCCAATTCTTTTCCAACTAATTTCAACAAAAACCTATCCTTTAAATGGAGTCAGTAGAACAATTAGTCCCAAGAAAAAGAAGTATCGTTTGCTATAATAAGTTGAATTAAAAACACAGAGGGGAGAGGGTGGGGAAGTAGGTGTTGAAGCTTACTTCAGAGCCACAAATGTCAGGAAGAAAGTTGCATTGCCTGGGAGGCTTTTTGCCAGCAATTCAAAAACCCTGTTAGGATGCTTCTCGATGGTCTTGAATGTACTGAACAAAGTTCCACCAACAGTAACACCAATGAAAACATTTAACACAGTGAAATAAAAATATTTCCCAGATGCAGCCCTTACTACGTGGCTCCCAGAAGGAATTCCCTCAGTCTTAGAGAGAAACAAAAGCAACTTCGGTAATAATGCCAAAAATATAATGAGTGCAAGCTGGGGAAGATATGCCTCCAATACTGTCTTAATTGCATCCTGTTTAACAATAGGCTTCAAGAATGGGAGATATTTTTTCAGATTCGCAAGGGTTGTGAGCGCAGAAATAAAACCAATTGGAATCATATAAAAAACTATAGTCAGAAACACGACAATGTAAACAATATATTGTCGTATTATCCTTTCAAAAAACTTGATACGCAGATTGCTCCATACAAGTTGACGAGGTTCAGGAGCTTCCGTAACTGTCCATCTGTCAACCATCTGGGCATGTAGACTTTGAGCAGCAGAGGCTGCAGTTACCCGGCTGGTAAAGAAAACCAACGCAGATCGTTGCTGCTTTTCCCGGAGGGTCACCTTTTGTTCAGCTTCCAATTTTTGTGTCAGTTCATTGATCTTTTCAGTGCAGTATTCTATGCTGTCAACCTTTTTACCACAGAGACCAAGGAAGCCAGTTTTGTTGGTTGGCCTTGTCCCTGCTGAGCTGCCTTTCTTCTGGGACTCTGCATATATTGCTTCTGCGTGTGCGAGCTTCTTTTTGTATCCTTCCAACTCTCCCCAGATTTTGTCAACCTAAATTTGAACAAGATGTTTGCTTTAATTGAGTGAAATCGTATAAATGCCAAAGGAACAGAAGAAGTCAACAGAACATCTACAATGAAAAGATTGGTTCAAGATATCGGACACAGACACAATTTATCAATTGCCAAAAAGGAAAAAGAAGGAAGGAAGGAAAGGAAGTGGAAGCAGCCATAAAGAAGTCAAAATCTACTCTCAGAGCAGATGGGAAAGGGAAAAGAAGAAGGTAAGACTCGATTTCGAAGGGATCCATATAACTCATTTAATGATAACACAGCAAGGATAAACTGCATATAGATGCAAATATATTACCTCTTTGTTGTTTGTGACCACCATTGATCTGTAGAATGTCTCAGCATAGAGAGATTTAAAATATGAATCAACCTGCTCCTTTCTAGTTTGACCTTGAGTGACATCCGGCAAGTCTCTAACAAGAACAGCAAATTGCTCAGGTTTCACTTCAGGAGACATTAAAGCATTCGCTCTCAGTGCAGAAACATGTTTGTAAGCCTTCCAGGAAAGGAAATAGGTGACAACAGAGATCCAGTAGGTGGCTATCAGGAATGCCCACAACCTTGGACTCTTCTCCTGTATAGACATCAAGAAACAGACTTGTATATCAAAATACTGTGAGAAGGTTGTATGTTTGGCAGGATGATATAAGCTGCTACGAAAACACAATAAAAGATTCTTTTTCTAACAGTTCTAGCTTATCAAAATAGTATAGTATATCTGAATCATATCAGAAACCACAAGCACTGAAATATTAAAAGAACAATTTCTTCCAGTTCATGAAAATGTTATATAGCTTACTTCAATATTTGCCATTGACAGCTTGTCAAGGTCACTGAAAGTCCCATTGCTTGTTGTCTTTGAGTTTTTCTTTACACCATCATCAGTTGCAGCAACAGGTAGAAGAGCTGGAAGCAGTACAATGCCAGACAAAACCAATATTCCCAATACTGGCACATTGATCAGGATACAAGAATTTCAGAATTTGTCTGCTTTTACCATCAAAATATTTTATATTGAATGTATCATTGAACCAGTCTCTAGCATATTATTTTCTTTCAGACACTTTAACTTGCATATAATGTACATTTAAGTGAACATTTTCTTCCTTACATCAAGCCAAGCAATGGTCAGGATCAAAAAGCAACAACTGGTTGATATTTCCATAGAAAATTAACTTCGACGACCACATTTAAGACTAAAGAAACAAAAGAAATTATGCCTAGGAAATGAGAAAATGTTCTAAGCTTGACCCACTGAGAAACATTAATTTGGTCACTTCATTGAATCAGCAGGTGGATAATTTATCAAATCTAGATAGTGATTTGGTGAATACCATAGAGTTCCCAGCTGGATCTTCCTTTTGTTGGGAAACTTTGATTCTTGTAACGATGAGTCCCCAGAAAACCTCACATACCTAATTGTATCAGTCCGAACAACATAGATCCTATAATTCCTTACCTTAATTGGAAGGCAAAATGATTCCCAGAACCCCATCAAGTTTCAGGTAGTCATAAGCACCAAAAAAACTCAGCATAATGACTAATTCCAAGACAACTACATGGTTCATGGTAATTTACTTGTTATGTTTGCCTGTAAACAAAATTAAATTCTTTTTTTACCAGCATTTTGATCAGTAACTAGATGTTCTCTGCACTGATTTAGTTGTTTTCATACATTGTTTAAACAAACCAAAGCCCTTGTACAGCTAAACTAGCACAATTTCAGGTATGACAAATGAGATTATTAAGTATATTTGACTTCTAAACACGAATCTCATTAAAATAGAAAACAAAACCGTCCAGAAAGAGAAACAGAGAAAGTCAATATAGAATTCACTGCAGAAGAAGTTTCCAAAAAGCAACTTGCCAACTTTGGAAGTAAATCATATTATGCAAATCGCCCTAAAAAACAACAAACCAACAAATATTAGCCTATTTTCAAGGCCAAAGAAAACTAGTAATCAAATCAATCAACATAAAAATTCAAACAACCCCTAAACTAAACCTCATAAAAGAAACACAAACAGATCTCAGTCTCAAAACAGAAGAAAGAAAGAAGAAACAAAAAGGAAACAAATAACCAAACTAACTGAAAGAGAAAAACAACATTTGTACATAAGATTCACACGTGTGATTAAAAAAAAAAAAGAGACAAAAGGGTAGAGACAAAAACCAGTGCTCAAGAACACAAAGTAGACGGCAGTGTCAATCCCAGACATGTCGATGACATTCTGTTCACTAGAAGACAAGGCTTCCCCTATCCAAGCAAAAGGGTTTCGTGTCCTTGACCCGCCTTCCCAGGGTTCCAAACCTTTCAAGATCCGGTTTGGATAATACACCACCGCGTTTCCTTGCCTTGTCGAAAGCCAAGCAAAGAGCAGCATCAAAACTATGAATATTACAAAGGACGTCCCTAAGGACGTTAAAAAGGAACTAAAATCCATCTGGGGTTTTGCCTAAAAACCAAACAAACAGCTTCTTCCGCTTCCCCTGTTTTTTCTCACTCTGCTATGTGAAGGAAGATGAAGGAACTGTAGTAATAGCCGTTAAAAAGGGTGATAAAGTAACCGTCAAGAAATGGAGAAAAAACGAAAGAGGAAAGGATTTATATTAGAAACAAGAAAAAGAATTGACAGCTTTTAATAGGAAAATATCTGCCAAAGTACTGGGGTTCGGATTAGCTGTTTGTGGGGTACGGCTTCCTGGTTTCCGTGGGGTTTCCGTGGGGATTCTATCTCTCTCTCTCTCTGCTGTTGCCTTTTTTCTTCTTTGTTTTAATGCAAAGATTTATACGAGATCTGTGCTTCAAAGCGGATTTGATGGAAAGATGGTAGTCAGTCAGGGTTCAAGACAACAATGTGTTACCCTTACGATTACAGTTAAGTAGGTTTGTAACTGTAAAATACTATATTGCCATCTTTTTTAGGTCTAAGTCTAAACTCTCTCTCTCTCTCTCTCTACATATACACACACACACACATATATATATATATATATATATGTCTAAGTGAAAGGCTCGGTTTTCCACTTCTGCTGCTTTCATGTAGGCAAATCTGTCGGTAAGAAACGAAAAAGGAGAAAAAAGAAATTGATAATGATACCCTTTGAATTTTCATACGTCAAAATATTATGAAAACCCTTAGCAAAAACAAATTCATGTTGATTCTCTTAGATATATTAACAAATTAACTTACCAATCATCTATATTGACGGAGTGATCGATATTTACTTGTAGTCAACATCAAATCTTGGGTACTAACAAATTCTTTTTATAAATGAATAAAACTAATAATGTAAACTATATCAGATGGTAATTTAATAAGGAAAAAAAGTGATGAAGTTCTCTAAGCTATATTATATGAAGATCTCAACGTTAAAAAAAAAAGCCTGCAAAAGTCTCTTACCAAAATTCAGAGCGCCCTGGCAAGTACAAATCTAAGGTGTGGCTTTTCTATAAGTAGAAGGCTTTAAACTTTTTATTTCAATAAACTTAATTTTAAAAAAGAATAAAACAAAAAAAAGCTGTCTTAAAGATTCGTCACAGAACCTTATCCACTAAGACATTTGTGTGACTCAGAAATTCCCACCTCACTCTAATTTTATTATCCAAAAATAAAGTCTTTTTATTTTATCTTTTTCTAGCTATACAACGCCCCGACATCAAACGAAAGCTACTCTCCGCATGAAAGTTACACGTGTTAATCTGTATCCGCTCAATCCTTTTCCCATCAGCATCAGCGAGCAGCGAGTACGGTGTCCGAATTTACTCCTGGCGAGTAGAGATGGCTTTCGCCACCAATTTGAAAAAGACACGTGGAAGGAAAAAATGGGACACGGATTTCATTTCCAAGTAGGACACGTGGCGAGCTGTCGGCGCTGCCGACAATGTGATGGGGATGTATATTTTAACTGTCGCGGGTGGAAGGCACGAGAGCGGAGATCCGTTGGACATATTTTGCTTGATGAGAAGAGCAGGTCGAAGAGTGGAACGTGGCGGGGCCAGATGGAGAGTGGGGGCCACCTACTTGTGCAGATATGTAAGAGTTAAGAATGTTAGTTGGTGAAAGGGAAAGGACTACGGAGTGGAAAATATCCTCTGTGTTTTGGGATGAGAAATCCTACCATAAAATAAAGTAACATTACAAATTTTCTTAAAGGAAAAGACGCAAGAAAAAGAAGAATTTGGTCCTTTACATGTGATCCATGATTAATCTGACTGGGATTGGGACGAGCGGTATCATTGAATTTTATATAATAAGTAAAGTAAAAACGTTTTGCCAAACAAAATGCAAAAGGGGGTAGCAATGCAAAAGTGGCCAAGCCCGTGGGGTCTATATGTGGGTGGCTTTTCATTTAATTGAAAGATACAATTAGATGGTCTTGAAAGCGTAATACAGACGTAAATCAAAAGGAGAGAACCATTCCAGGCCAGCTGAGCAGTTGTGTAGGTTGGCACATTATGAGACTTGGCTCCAAGGCAAGGCAACCTTACCTTGGGCCGGGGCTTTTCAATTCCATCCATGACAGCAACAAACTCTAATCATGCAATGCAGTGCAACGTAAAGATTGTCTTCAGTTCACAGGCTCTTCTCTTCTTCAACAATGATATGCTTCTTTGACTCCATTTTTTATTCCCTACGAGAAACGCTATTTCATTCCTTTTGTTTTGTTGTTTGTCGGATGATAAATGCTCGACCCTTTGCTTTTTTACTAATGCTGCTTCGGCTGTGAGCGTAGGAGTAGTATTCAGTCGTAGGATTTGCCTTTCGCTTTTCTGAAAAGCTTAGATTGGATTTTCTTTGCTGGTATACTATAATGATAAAATCTTTCGAATTTTCATCAGTATATTTACCAAATAATGTGAAGTAACGAATATTAAAATACACTTCCTTTGTCTTGGGACTTGGGCAGTCATACGCTATCTTTGTCCTCGATTATCTGGCTTTGGATATGAAGTAGGGGCAAACGTAATTGTTATTCAGATTACTGCAGGATCGGAAGTGGATTTAACCAAAATTATAGACCTATAATATTTAGGAAAAGCAATTAAAGAAAGGTTTTTTGTATGCAACAAAACTAGGAACGACTTGAATTTTCATCATGGTATAAGAATATACTTTCTACAATTAGCCTTGTTCTTCCAATTCAAGTCGAACGGCCTACTTATCAGATGTGACAGATTACATGGATCAATCTGTATCTCAACACTTAAACCCTCTAGAGCTCACTTCAATGGACAAAACTTGGGAGAGGGATGAAAATACATGGGTGAGGACGGTGCTACGTGCATGGATAAAATCAACTTATAGAAAGCAAGAGCCGCCTGCTGTCATCTGAAGTTGCAGCAGTGTGCCAGACCTCTCGACAGCTTGTCCCAAAGACAAATCATCTGTCTTGGGGATTGGTAATGTGCAGTGTAATAGTCTACCATGCATCCGTATTGACAGAACTTCCAGCTGTGGGAGTACTGGACAGTCGTGGAACTGTTAAATTGTTCAACCCACATTCCCATACTCACATCCTCCATCTTGAAAAGCTGCCAATATATACAAAAATGGTGTTGGTCAAACTGATGAAGCAGATTGGAAGACAACAAAGCTATTTTTAACACCAAAAGAGATATAGGAAGAAAAGAAGGGGGTTGAAATAAAATATTTACATTTTTTTCCCAAAAAAGTAAAGAACCAGACAATCTTCAGGGAAAGCAGAGTCAATGAGAATTTTTCAATACAACTAACCCTTAATTTTCGATTGCCATGTTGTGAGATAATAAATTTGGCAATATCACAGGAAATAATATATCCAGGTCCATTTGCATAGGGAGGATAAACTTCTTCCGGCCACTCCTGTAACATCAGACAACAATCACAGAGAAACAGGTTCAGTAAAGGAGTTCGCAGCATTTAACTAAATTCTTGAAGGAACAGCTCCAAGTTGCCTAAGAGTGTATTTAATTTCAACTTCTTAGAATGCCTCAGAACAACAAAGTCAATGGTAAAGACATTTTAGAACAAGAAAAGCAATTAACAATTTTTAACCACAAAAATATGAGCTTAAAGAAACCACACCAAGTGATATCATCATTATGCAGCTTCTTATGATTAAACCAACATAAACAATTTAAGAATTCAGACACAACTTTGCATTTTGCAACTGAAAATAGGACATAAAATGAAAGTGAGCATGGCCTATCAAAATGGAGAAGACATCACAAGGGAAAATCAAAAAAAGTCCACGAAACTCATATATACTACACATACCTCATAAGTGACAGCCCATTTTCCATTTCTCAAAGGACGATGCAGGAGGTTGAGATTACCCATATAAAGTGACTTTTTGGGAGGAATGCCATCAATTTCTTTCAAGACAGTATCAACTCTAACAAATGTGTCATCATCACATTTCATGATGTAAGCAGCCGAAACATTCAGCACCTGCATGTGCATAGAGAAGATTTCAATATCAGAATAACCTTTAAAAGAAATTCAACCCACCAGAACACATAAATACAGGTAAAACATATTCATGAGGAAGACTCAGAGAATCAAGAATGACCTTTCAAAGAAATGAAATGAAAGAGGGATACATCATTAACTCACCCCAAACTCACAAATTGCAATAGTTTTAAGAACCACAAGCTCATAGCGGTCCATAAATGGCAAAATCACAATATCGCCAAAATAAGCTGCCTCCTTCTTCAGCACTGCATTAACCTCCTTCCTCGTATTCTGCAATTTATAGCATTAATAATTAGAGACAAAAAGAAGTGAGATAAACAATAACATTGATGGCTAGAGAGGAATGTCTAAAAAAAGGACAGCCATTCAAGAACAAGAAAGAGTATATTAATAGATAAAAGCCAGACCGCCAACACACATACCAGCAATTTTTTCTTTAATCTCATGGAGATATTTGCAAAACAAAATGAAATTAGCATGCATAACACTTCAGGTATTTAAAATGATCTTCATTTCCAAAGAAATTTAAATGCAGAAACCATACCAGTGCAACAAAGAACCGGACCACTACATTTGAAGACTTGATGGCCGAAGATTGCATCCAAGTTTTTCTTACAGCCATGCGTTCGGCAAAGTGATTGGTAGCAGACAGAACCCCAATAAAAAGTTGAATAGATCCCCTAGGCAAAGGATATGCTTTCCATTTT